ATACAATGGTACCTTGCTTCATGAACTTAATTTGTTTTACAATTTTGGGGAAGATGGCCCTGTTTGTTTTATGTGTGGAAGATAGCTATGGTTATGTTTTTCACCCAATGTGGAATTTGTGAATAGAAGCAAAAATTTTGTCAAATACTTTTGTTTGACAACTGGATTGTTTGGGAACAGAAGTGTTCATGAACTAAGGTATTACTGTAGTAACAATGAACAATCTGAAAGGAAATTGTGAAAAAAATTCCATTTACAATAGCTCAAAAAGAATAAAATACTTAGGAATTAACTTTCCTATGAAATTGAAAGACTTTTATAATGAAACATTAGTGAAAGAAATTAAAGACATTCATAAGTGAAAAGACAGCCCACGTTCAAAGACCAAAAGATTTAATATTGTTAAGATGTGAATACTATCCAAAGTGATTAACAGTTCAATGCACCACTATCAAGATCTCAATGACTTTGTTATAGAAATAGAAAAATTCATAGCAAAATTCATATGATCCCGAAGGGTTCCAGGTAGCTAAAACCATGTTGAAACAGCAGAACAAAGCTGGAGAATTCACACTAATTTCTAATTTCAAAAATTACTGCATATGTATTGTAAACAAAACAGTATGTTAACAGCAGAAAAAAGGATATACAGATTAATGAAACAATAAAAAGTCCACAAGTAAAATTTTCCCTTACATGATTTTGACAAGAGCACATGATTTTTGACAAGGATCTGGAAAAAAGTTTACAAATGTAGACTGCCTGCCACTAACTGCTCCATATCACTTGTTTCCAGGTATTTTAGTACAAGGTCAAACACTTTTCTGTATATTTATTGGTAATTTGTGGTGGGTTTTTTTTGGGGGGGGACTGCTTGAGTGTTACTTTTTTGGGGTATTTTATTTCTTTATTTTTAAAATTAAATTTATTGATACATTTTAGGTATACACAATGGCCACATTCATTATAGAGAATTTGAACCTATATGTGACATAACTTGATTCTGTTTTCATCCCATTTCCCTACCCTCCCTTTTTTTGTAAATGAGAGGGAAGAAAGGTTGAAGATATTTTATTTTTTATTAGTTATAAATTTTATATATTAGATATAACAAAACTTATGGTGCAAACTGCAAGTCTGTTCGACTAAAATTTATCAAAACTTTTCTCCAGTGATTTGGAATGCTACCTTTATTGTACAATAAATTAATATATAAGCATATGATTTCTAGGTGACATATCCTAGTAATTAAGAACATAGATTCTAAAATTGGGCTGCTTTGATTCAATTCCAAGCTCTCAGATAAAGACTAAATTTTAAAACATTCAAATCTCTATAGTTACCTAAAATCCAGCATTGTTAATCTGATCAAATTTATAGTATATAAAATGAAGTACTACATAAACATTTGAAAACTATTATGAAATATACACTAAAAACTCTACGAAGTCATTACAATAAGCCAAATACTTTACAACTTTTAACCTATTTGATAAAAATAAAACAGTGATTTAAGACAGCATTGCTACCAATTCATGGGTAAATAGAATAGAGGCAAATGGAGTTGGAAAAATTACACAAAATCACATAACTAATAAAGGATACCAGAAATTGAATCAATATGCCTTGGATACTTAAAAATAAAAAAGAAGTCAACAGAAAGCCCTGGAACCTGCAGAAATTGGCCTGAAAGGCTGCTGCCAGCGCCAGACCCAAGCCTCTCTGTAAGTCAGTGCCATTTGTGGACTGCAGAGGGACACAACTAGGCTTATAATAGGGAGGAGTTCCCCACCCAGAAACCGTATCTTTTTCCTTTTTTTGTTGGGTTGGGTTTTTATTTTCTTCTGTTTTATTTATATTAATTCTGATGGCATGAGCAGTTATTTAAAAGATAGCAAGACATGTTATGGAAGTCATTATGTATTTTCTACTTGTTTTGATATCCTATATTGCATTCATTGTTTTGTTTTTATTGTTTGTATTCTATTACAGTCTGTTCAATTTTTAATATGCCCAAAGGTGGTATTTGCAGCTATTTTGAAGACAACAAAGGCATTGTGGTAACTATGTTGATTTCATAAGGTTTGGAAGTCTTGTATTACTTATTCTGGTTTACTTTGATTGATTCTATACTGTTTAATTTTCCTTGGTTTTATCCTCTTTAAAATTTAAAAAAAAAAAAAAAAAAAGAAAGAAAGAAACTGGCCTGAAAGCACTCACTTCTTTATCTGCTTTGATACTTTTATCGAAGAGCCTTGTCCCTTCTGTTTATTCTTTACATTGCTGTGTAAGTGATCATTCCCACAACAAGTAGTCAGCAAACAATGGCCCATCATAGTCTGACTAAATTTAAGGATTTTTGGGGGTTAAATCATTGAAAAAAATCACAAGAGTTGTATCATGTGACAGTGGGAAATTCTGATATTCAAATTTCAGAATGTGGAAAAGGAATTTCATAACAATGCAGCCAAACTTAATGTATATGTATTCCTGATGGTTATTCTTAGTTTACACTGACAGTGTTGAGTAGCTGCAACGGAAACTGTATGCCTTGTAAAGTCTAAAATTGTTACATGGCTCTTTACAGAAAAAGTTTAAAGATCTTTGGTCAAAACTATGATATTATTCTTCTATTTAAAACCTTCAATCAGCTTCCCATAGCTTTTTTTTTTTTTTTTTTTTTTTTTTTTTTGTATTTTTGTATTTTTACTGGTACCAGGGATCGAACTCATGACTGCCTGCTTGCAAGGCAGGCGCTTATGCCGCTGAGCTAAATCTCCAGCCCCAGCTTCCCATAGCTTTAAGAGTTAAATTCTAACTCCTTTATGTGGCATGTAAGGTTCCTCTAGTCTCGGCTCTCTGCTTTCTAGCCATATCAGTGTTGTCATATTGCATGACTTGTATCTCTTTACCACTCATAGATTCTAAGGCAAAACCACCATTTTCAGGTTAACTAATGCTTTGTGATCACTTTGGTGTTATTTTTAGTCTTTTAGAAAGAGATATTTTTAACACAGAAAGAATCTGTAATTAAGTATAGTCTAGTTTATGTTATCTTACCTCTCAAACAAAATTTCTTAGTATATAGGCTATATACTAAGCCTGGTTAGATGGATTTAAGTAGTAACACTCACTTAAAAAAGCATAATAAATTCTTATAGATGGAGCCTCAAATACATGTAATAGGTTCACAAATTTAAAACTGAACTCTAAAAATTCAATGCTGTAGTTTGATTTTCTTAAAGCAGACTTTGATTATGAGCAATGTTTTATGTGATGAATGAAGATACAGCATTCTGAATAAAATGAATCTACTTTAGTAAATAAAATGAAATTAAAACCATTCCTTTACTTATTTTAGGTTTTTATCTTTTATATGTAAAAATCTTTATGTGTTAGAGTTAGCCTATCAGTAGAAAGTCTATTCAGAATAAGATTTGAACTAGCATGGAGACTTTATAATGGTATTATGCTAAACTGAGACTAAGCACTAAAACAGATGTGATTTGAAATAAAGTTTAGAAGATGGCTTTGATGATTATGTTTGTTAACAAATAAAGCAGAATCACAGAGCAATAGGTAATATAATATAAAACTTAACTTCTCTTGCTTAGAAAAAAGTCTAGGATTGTACATAAAAATTAAAAAAACAAAACTTACTTTTTTAGGGTAAGTAAGCAAGAGATATCATGGAAATTTAATGGGATCAGAAAATCTAACAAAGTGTTATTAAATTTTTGACATTGTGATGTCCTCGTGTAGATTTTTGATGAAAATGAAATCTTAAAATATATTATGTCTGCTTCATTAGACACAGAAAAATACAGATGACAATAAAATGTTCATACTTTTAAAAGTAATTAGAAATATTTTTTCATGGTCAATGAAAGTAACTTTCAGACACAATTGGGTATGTTCAGGGTGATACGGCCATAGAATGATATACAGTTAGAATTTAAATATTAAACACAACCCAAAATTAAATGATCTAATGTGATGGATGTATGCTAGTATCCAAAACATGAAAGCTTAATTTAAATTACAAAATGTCTTTTTGCTGTGAAAAGATTCTAGTAAAAGGGTCTTACAGAAGTTCTTGACTTCAAGAAGATTTTGTTCTACTGTTTCTTTGATAATAAACCACAATGGAGCACAATATACTGGAAAACCAGGAATGGACCTAGCCTTTGCTCAACTGACCCCACTGTCATAGAAGATATAAAAACAAGAAACATTGATATAAGCACAAGGATCTATAAGGAACTGGTCAGTTTTAATGTTATATAGTTGATAAATGGAAGAACTAGAGTATATGTGAATTTTATAACCCTTTAAATTCCCACTGATCTGTGGTCGTTTTAAAAATACATATGATCACTCTAAGGGGCCAAAGCAGGAGGACCACAAGTTTAAGTCTCACCTGGGAAAATTAGCAACTTAGTGAGACCCTGTTTCAAATATAAAAATAAAGTGTGTAGGAGGAGAGGGGTTGGGGTACAGGCCCTATGGTCAATCCCCAGTATCATGAAAATAAATAATAAAAATATATGTGAGAACATTCACAATTTGTTACTTCTCACTAAAAGTTAAGCAAAAAGCTGAGCATATTCAAGATCTATAGGAACTGTTTGTCTTATGCTCTGGTTTCTGTATTTCACTTTTTCAAAGAATGGATTAGAAAGACATTTAAGTTTATTAGATAGAAAGGTGTCAACTCTGCACATCAAGGTACATGAGGAGAAAAGTTCATAAATTATAAATTCTTAGAAAACACAAAAAATCCTTTGGGTCCATCAAGGAAAATGTCAGCAAGTCTAAACATACTAGATGGCTACTAACCAGTTTCATGAAGGTGAAGCTGTAAGCCAAGATGGAATAATACTTTCCCACCATGTATCTAAGTCTACAAATGACACTAATCCCTTTTAATTGTTATAAAAGCTGACAACTTCCTCAGCCTTATAACTAAAGGCACAAAGTTATCTCTGCGAATGACTTACCATAAACAGGTCTCGAGCACCAATGTCAACAGCTAGGAGAAATGCCTTTTCAAATCTCTGGTACCTACAAGGAAGAAAAGAAATGTGTGTTACATGAGAGGAGAAAGCTGTTTGTATTAAAGTATTTATTTGCTACTGTTTTCATTTTTCTGATGGAAAAATATTGTTAAACAGAGGGATTTAGCCTGCTAGAATCTTCCATAAGGGAAATGTTATTCAATTTATGAAGAGTAACAGCACAAAGTCTATGGAGGTTGTAAGCCTAATTTCCAAGGATAAGCATAATCTCAAGTAGACACTGCTTACAAAATGTTTTTCACATTTTGTTGTGTTTTATAAGAGAAAATTATGGTAATATTGAGAATCTAGGATAAGAGCATGTAGTAATTACATCACTTATACTTTTGGGTTTCTGAGGTATAAGATGAAAAATCAAATATTACATTATAAAAAGTACTTCATATTTGTGAATTTAAAAATTACAGACTATAATATATTTTAAAAACTATATTATCTTTCTAATGTTTCTCATAATCATATTTTCCCTGAAATATAATTTTGCAAATTTCTTTGTTAAAGCTTAATTTTAGGCTGAGATGAATTAGAACAATGTACACTTTAAAGAAATCATCTCTACATAAAGTTTAAGATCTTGAGAGAAAACCATGTCATAAATATATACTTAGCACAAGTATGTGGAATGAAAGCTTGCCTTTATTTTGTTTGGGTGCTAAAATTCATACAGATATAATTGTCAGTTTTTCTGATTCTAGCTAGGAATGAGAAGTTATTCTCTATTCCTTAATCTATACTGCAAAACTTGATGGTAAAAAAGCTAATGAATCTCAAGTAAAAAATAGCAAGTTTTCAATATTATTAATAAAGTACTATATCCTATTAGTGAAATAAAATGATTAAAAATGAAATAAATAAGGCTTACTAATGTTATATTTTAACTGTGAGATATAGAACTTGAAACACTTCTGGAATTTCCAGCAGTTTGGTAACTGCTACCCCCAATTTCCCCCTTGCCCTTGTTATTAATTAATTATAATTAATATAATAGATGATCAGACTATTGGCTTTAAACCCATAAAGTCAGTAAAACACTCACACTAGAAGGATTAAATTGTATTCCACCTCAATAGCTACCATGGCAGCCTGTGTTTCTCTGGAATGAGGCCTAAGCTTGCTAGGCAAATGCCTTATCACTGAGTTATATCCCCATCCCACTTACCCACTTTTATCATTACTGTGTTCCCCTGAATCTTCTTAGCTATAGAAGTTCTGGAGGCAATTATGCTTATTTTTGTAAAGAAAGAATATCCTGTGACTGTAAGATTAATGCTTTACTATATATTCAACGAAGATGGAATGTACTAGGAAGAAGTCAGAGAATTACTAAGGTGTCCAAGCAGAACTTCCATTTACTGCCATTTTACATTGTCCTACTCCTTTTTTTCTGGCAGTAGTAAGATGTCTAATCATTAAAATTAAAGAGCCTTTTTTTTTTTTTTAAAGACAGGGCTTTTCTACATAATTCAGGCTGGCCTTCAACCGACTATGTGGCTTAAGCTGACCTTGAACTAATGGCAACATTTCAGTCCCCAGTGTGCTGAGATTACAGGTATGTGCCATCATGCCTGGCTAAACTGTTTCTTCTTTCATCTTTTTAAAAAATTTATTTTAAAGAGAATAAAACCAAGCAAAATAAAACAGAATAAAGCCAATCAAAACAAACCAGTTTAAGTGACACAGTACTTCAAAACAATAGGAAATCAACCATGGTTACCATAACCCTTGTTATCTTTAACATAGCAGTACATACCTTCAGACATAGTAAAAATCAAAAACAAAACAGAGTAGGACCAATAAAAACAAAACAATGAATGCAATAAAGGACGTCAAAAAGGACAAAAGCAAATACAAAGAAGCTACCATAATACATCTTATCTTAGTAATAGCTGTTCATATCATCGGATATAATAAAATCAAACAAACTGAATAAAACCCAACCCAACAAAACAATGAAAAAAATACAGGACTTCAGAACAAGATGATAGAGAATCAACAGTGGCCACCACCTTCAGAAGGAGATCCCTCATAGATGCTACACTGCCTATTGTTATCCTCTGAATAGATTGATCAGATTATTGGCTTTAAACCCACAAAGTCAGTAAAACGCTACACACTATAAGGATTAAATTGTATTATACCTCAATAGCTACCATTGCAGCCTGTGTTTCTCTGGATCAGCCGGTCACTTATGGTGGGGGAGGAGGCTGGCTCCTTGTTTCCCAGTCCGCATGCCAGAAGGAGCTGGCATCTGGCTCTCCCCACAGCAGCCTGTGCATGGTGCTGATTCACAGGGAGGGCTTTCTTTCTTTTTTAAAAAAGTTTTATTTAAAGAAAGACTAAACAAAACAGAAAATGGGTAGAAATAATACATATGTTCAGAGAAAAAATAAATAGTAAGAAATCACTAGTTAATGTTTACATACTGTCCTTTTACCAATAATGGTTCAAGATACAAAAGTGGTACATAATAAAGTGGGAATTCAAACAGCGAGACTGCAAACAGTTCTGTTCAACTATCCAACAAAAACTTAGTAATATGGTTGTCAATCCTATACACTTAAACATACATGCAGTTATCCATATCTTCATTTATGTTGGGATTAAACAAACTAAAACAGGCTAAAGTCATTAGGAACAAGAATAATAGTATTGTTGGATTTCACATCATGACACTCTTGGGTCAGCACTGGGTACTGTAGTGTTATTTTTTAAAACTTTATTTAAAGAAAGACTAAACAAAACAGAAAATGGGTAGAAATAATACATACTTTTAAAGAAAAAATAAACAGTAAGAAATCACTAGTTGATGATTACAGATTGTCCTCTTACAAATAGTTATTTAAGATACTAAAGTGGAGCATATAAAGTGGGGATTCAAACAGTGAGACTGCAACTAGTTCTATTCAACTATCCATCAAAAACTTAGAAATATGGTTATAAATCTAATACACTTAAACATACATGCTGTTATCCATATCTTCGATTATGTTGAGATTGAATAAATCCAAGAAGTCTAATATCACTCTGAACAAAGAATAGTACTATTGCTGGGTTTCACATTATGACCCTCCAGGATCAGCATTGGGTACTTTAGTGTCTCCTTTTCTTCCAAGTATCTGTTCATTTCATCATGTGTCATAAGATCAGTTTTCATAAACTGTTTATAGATTCTACACATGCATGAGTCTTAACATGTATTTCTATCCTTTCTATGTTAGAGGGAGAAACAAAACAAAGCAAGACAAAACAAAACATATTCCCAGAAACACATGAAATGAAAAAGACATATAAGACTGTTGTACAAGGAGTTCTACCATGGTTCCTGTGTTGTCTCTAGTTATCTTCAATAGAATTGGCTATATCATTAGACATAGTATAACCAAATATATCAGTACATAACAGTATTAATAAAAACACAACTTTGTACATAGTATAAAACTTCAAAAGCAGGCAGTTATCAAACTAGAATGTGTATTGTAGTCTTGTCATCTTCAGTGTAGTTACCTATACTCTCAGACTTGATACTATCAATCATATCAGTTTTTAATAAAATCTGTCGATATCAAACAGCAATCACACAAACCACATGTAACTAGGATCAGTCATAATAAAACAGTATAAGTCATACAGGGCTTCAGATTAAGTTAATAGGAAATTAAAGATGATTACTGTGCTATATCCTGATGTTTTAGGAATAGCTGTCTATGCCCTCAATCTAATGCAAGTAGACAAAGTGGGACAGAATAAAATCTATCTGAGCAGCGTGGTGCGAATAATGTAGGTTTTAAATCCTGATATACTATTAACAATATCTTCTGCCACCTTTTTTAAGACTCTCCCTCCCCTTTCACTTCCCCAGGGTACACTGTGCATATATGGGTCTGAGCAAGACCCTTGATTTTAAATGGGGGGGGGGGCAACCTGCTATTTACCTAAGTGGTTCCAAACCTTCTTTCTCCTGGACTTGATCTCTAATTGTATTCCATTACCTATTAAAGCCTGTCTTTGCAACCTATCCACAAACACTGGTCTAGCTGCCCCTATTACTCTGCGGTTCTCTGTCACATAGAGCATTGTTTTCTCATATTGGATTTTTAGTCTATGTACTCTTTTTCATGTTAATTATATTTTTTACAGATAGCATCTCAGTGGACCCTGCCCCCTGATCTACTCTACTCCATGTGTGGCTCTCTTTTTTAATTTAGTGTATCAAGGCCATCTATACTAGAGATTATAACCAATCTTCTCTGCCTCATCTCTGTTATGCTCTTTTGTTGCCATCAGTTGTCTGCTTATCTTCTTCATTTTGTTTTCTGCTCCATTCATTGAGGATTCTCTGCCACTGTTCCTGAAATCATAGTACTTTTCTCTCTCTCTAAAATGCCATGCAGTATTCTCTGCAGAGTTGGATTGGTGGCTGCAAATTTCCCAAGTTCCTCTTTGTCTTGGAAGAATCTTGTTTATCCATTAATTTCTAGAGATAGTTTTTCAGGGTATATCAATCTGGGTTGGAGGTTATTTTCTTTCAGGGCTTGGAATATTTTGCTCCAGGCTCTTCTTGACTTGATGGTTTGTGTCAAGAAGTCTGCCGTTATTCTGATAGGTCTTCCTCTATAGGTGATCTGTTTCTTGTCTCTGACAGCTTTTAATATTCTATTCTTATACTGAATTTCTGGGATCTTGATTATTATATGCCTGGGTGTAGCTCTGTTTTGGTTGTAGGTGGCTGGAGTTCTATACGCCTCATACATCTGAATATCACTTCCTTTTCCTATGTTTGGGAAGTTTTCCTTAATTATTTCTGTGAATAGCCTTTGTAGTTCCTTTGTTTGTACCCTTGCTTCTTCATTCACATTCTTTATAATCAAGTTGTAGATCTTCTAGTCGTCTTCTAGCCTCTGTATTGTTAATGCTTGGTTCCTAATTATTTTTATAAAGTTTTTCCTTTCATAATCCCACATTGCAAAACTATCCTCCAGTTTGGAT